GCCCACGACCGGTTTTGCTCTTCTTGGGGTTCATCAAGTAGGCGCAGCCCCCGAGGTTCCGTCAAACTTATGATCTAATTGAACTCAAATTGGACTGTTTTCGAGAAATACACTCATTTGCAAATCAATTCGGTTTTCACGGGAGACTCAATTGAATCTCTCGTTTGTGATGTCCTCCAGCTGAATGTGCTGCACACAGGCCGCCTCGTGATTCAGTTGGCACGGTATTCGAGAGATCGCAGTATATTTTCATGAAGGAAACTACTCCCAAGGTTGCTGAAAAGGCCCCGACAGCCCACGACCGGTTTCGCACTTCTTGGGGTTCGTCAGGTAGACGCAGTTCCCGAGTTTCCGTCAACCGAAACTGGACATCATAAACGAGAGATTCAATTGAGTCTCCCGTGGAAACCAAATTGATTTGCAAATGAGTGTATTTCTCGAAAACAATAGATGATATGTTCGTACGTGGCAAAGGGCCTCACTTTCACATGCAAACGCTGATTGAGGCAATCTTAAACTGTTAAGAGATATAGGTCGTGGTCGGGAAAAGTCTCCCCGACGAGGATGTCTTGGTCAGATTACACTGCTCAAATTGGCAGTCATGAACACGTGACAATCTTTCATCTCTAGTTAGATGTTCAAGCAAGATTCTGATTTGTCTGACGGGAAATTCCAGTGAGGAACACCCCCTATTATATTCTGACATGAGTATTTTTCACTTCGGCTGATCATCGCGTTTTGTCAAGATCAAAATGCATCATAAATAGACACCAAAGTGATCTTTTAAATAATTTCGATACCCACTTTTTTCGTGTCCTCATAACATAAACTGTGCCATCCTTCCTAAAGCATGATGTTTCACTAAAATTGAGAAGGCAATCCAAGGGGATTCAATTTTATGGCATTAATAGCTATGTATATCAATTGTTTTTTTGCATTCTTCAGTTCCATGGGCTTGGTTGCAGGCTGTTTAGAACATGACCACTAGTCAATGGCGTTCATATTGTCAAATTCTATCCGGGTGACCCGAATGAGTGAATGAAGATGTAAATAACTCGGAGTGATTGTAGTAAGCTGAGATCCTCCACTAGCCACTTTTATTCTTTTTTGTGTTTGCAATCAGCTTTTTTAAATAAATGATATTTAAATAACAGCGACGCCCCAGTGTGGAACACCGATTTTGTGCCGCTGATGATGATGACGAGTCCGGAATTTGTGGTTCACTCGAGATATCAAATTTCTAGTTGGGTAAATCTTACACCGTAAAGCCAAGGCGGAAAATTTTTTTTAGTTTGTAACAGAACTACTGTCATTTCGTTACATCCGCGGTTGTCGAATAATTTAAGATCCAATGTGCGTTTTGCGTTGAACAAGCCTGTGTTTTCTCTATGGCGCTAGATCATCTTGGCGGAATATGATACATTTTGAAAAATGGATCTGCAAAGTTTTGCGTATATAGTGTGCGGATGTGATTATAAGTGAGTTCCACCGACCGATCGATTCACGGTTTAGGAAACACAGTCAAGTTTTAGCTCGCGATCAGTGGAAAAAAACAAACGGTGGTCCACGCGTGTGTTTAATTGACACTGGACCTTCTTAACAGCGTTCCATCGGACCGAGAGTTTTAGGGAAGCGGCATATATATATAAAGTCGATGGTGTGCTCGTGTGTCACGGATGAAATGATACCTCAGTGGACGTTATTCGTTCTTCTAGAAGTTGCAGCTGGTGAGTCAATGCAAACGTTCCCCCCAACAACAACGGATTATTGTCGACACCACAAGAGTAGCTAAGTATCGTGAACTATCCGAGGGGTACTCATAGAATGTAGGCGTGCTGTTGAGAAAAGAAAACGTTAGTTCTCAACCACTGGGAAGGTTCGGTGTCCAGTGACCAGATTTATCAGAGAAAAATGGACAAGAACTGGAAACAACGTTAATGTATTCATTTGATTGACTCCCATTTGATCATGGTAGTTACTGGTCACCTTAACCTGACCAGTTTGTTGCTGGCTTTTTTCAACTAAAACCGGTGACGAAATCAACTTGAGGCAGAGTGCTCGTGTCTGCTCACACAGTGAATGAGAAGGTGCGATGGTTTGGATCGGGAGAGGAGTTTGACCAAATGTGGAGGGCAAATTTTGATAAGAATATGGATGTGCACAACTGGCGTGTAAAAAATTCGAACAGAAGACAAAAATGGCGAACGTTTAGGTAACATTCTTATCAAAGAATGCGTAGTTGGGAGCTTTGAAAAGAGATTTCGTTCTGTTAGTAAAGCCAAGCAATACTGAAAAGCCGGAAGGCATTGTGCAACGGTTTCATCTTTATTGCCAGTGCGTATCTCATGAGACTCGCGTAGTTTGGAGCTCGCGATCAGTGACTGACGGTTTGATAAATAGTGGCTCCCCCAAAATGTCATTAAATCAAACTTAGACAGGATGGAGCACCAATATCACGGGTCTCACATTACCTGCTGATTGGCACCTCAATTGTCAGACTTAGGTTCCAATCGTCTTATGAGATCATTCTTTCTCTGTCACCTGTGGGATGCTACTTTTATTTTAG